CACTTGAAGATGGCTAGAAGCCTAAAACTCAGCAATTAGGGAGGAAGAAAAAGTTTCAATCTTTCATAATCTTAAGAACCCTAGAAAGCTAATTATCCAGACATAATCTTAACAACAAGGAAACACACATAAACAAGACCAGCACAAACTCTACATCGAGCAGTAAACTCTTAACCCTAAAACTAAACATGCAGAATTCGATTCTCAAAAAGAACACACTAATAAAAAAAGAGAGAGATATTGCTGAACAAAAAAAAAAACTAAATTTGCAGGAATCTTACCGATTTGAAGTTGCTTGAGATGAAGAAATCACAAGGAAAGTCTTTGTGATCTTTTAAAGCTTCTTCATTAGATTGTTTTTGAGTTAGTCGGCTGAGAAAATTTTATGGCGGAGGTCCGACGTCAGTTTATAAAGTCACGGCCTGTCAACAAAATACTGATTGGTAAACTTGACACGTGTATTATTGTGAATGGTGGTGATGTTTTAATTGGTCACAGCCCTGTGTATGGAATTAAAAAAAAACTCTTATATAAATAGTGGGACGGCTAATAGTCTTTATCGAAGGGCCAAAACGAGACGATTTCGTGGGATAATAAAAAAGTGATTACCGATTAGTTTAAGTCTTTGTTTGTTTTAATTATAAGACCAAATCTAACGGCTATAAACTATGATTATTTAATACCACGTCCTAGGGACTCTTGTTTACGTTAAAATAAAATAAAAATTCAATAAAACTTGAAGATTTACTCGATAATTTATTTTTATGATTTTTTTTTTACGAGAATCATGTTGCATTTTTTTAATTAATAATAATAATAATAAATTCCTACAAATTTATTAATTTTTTTATAAGAATTATATTCAAAATTGGAAACATTAATCGGAAAAAAATTAAATTAAATTAAAGAACTCATATGAAAATTGGGTAAATGGGCCACAAAGCCCATATAACAGCTGTCGGTAACGTGGAGCCCCCCACATTGAGCACGCCGGTCGGCAAATGTGTGGTCCCCATACTCACATCCGGACAAAAACTAAAGACCTGTCTTTTTCTACTTCACTACGTTTTTCTTGTTTCTTTATAGCTACGGGGCATTAAAATTTTAAAGCCCAATAAAGACTTAAAAAGGAGAAAAACCGGCCCATGAAGTCAAGAGAGACTCTGGGTGAATCAGAAGGTTCCTGCAAGTGTTTGTATCGCGCGATGAACTTGATAACGGCGATGATGTCTCCCGGAGCCGAAATTGCGGCCATACAATGCTACAATCCAGTTCCTGCATTTCAGTTTGTCCTTACACGGTGAAACAACCTTCTTTCCTAAGAGCCCAGCACCGTATCTCCTTCAATCTCTCCTCTGATCGTATCGCCGTTCGCGGTGGTGGTGATGGTGTCACCGCCGTCTCCTCCTCCTCCCGCCTCCGTGAACTCGTTTTCGTCGTAAACCCTCAAGGTGTGTTTGCCCTTTTACTCATTAGAAGAAGAAATTGCTGAGGTTTGGATTAATTGGATTTAAAAATGATGTTTTTATATATGAGGATCAATCTAGAGGTGCAATTGGGGTTTAGGGTTATTGTCTGTTGATTTCTCCTTTTAACATGGAGTTAGGAGCTAATGGTAGAACAGCTAAAGAATGGAAAAAGTTGCTTCCTTACCTTCGATCTCGTCTTGGTAAAGACTGTAATGTGAGTTTTTGATTTGCTTATCTTCTTTTGTGCCTGTGTTAGTCCTTTTGCTTTCTTCAGTTTCTTATTATCTACCATGAGAATGATCTTGCCCGTCTTCTTGATTGTTTCCTCCAGATATGTGAATCCTTAACCTCGGGTCCTTCTCATGCCATTGACATTACAAGAGAGGTAAATGGCAATGTAAAGTCATTATATCACTTTGGGAGTGTGCTGTATGTTTTGAAGCTGATCATTTGGTTCTGTTAATTAAACTCTTAGGCTATAAGGGATGGTGCAGATGCTGTAATTGCGGTAGGAGGTGATGGAACGCTTCATGAGGTTAGAATTGAAACTTTTTGTTGCTAGAATTGAGAAGTTTGCTGAAATTTACAAAGCTATGGAGTTCCTTAGTTCTCGATCATTGTATTGTTTTGATCTATAGGTAGTTAATGGATTCTTTTGGGAGGGAAAACCTGTCGCGAGTCTCAATGGTGAAGCTAGTCATTCGGCTGCACTTGGTGTGAGTTGGTTGAATTGACTTTTTTTTTACTTGTCTTTGTGTATATCTCTTGCGGAGTTGCAATGTACAATCTCAGTCAATCTTTCTTTTTTTCTCTTTTTGCAGCTGATTCCCTTAGGTACTGGCTCGGATTTTGCGAGAACATTTGGTTGGTTAGTTTTTGCAACTTCTGTTTGATGTGATTTGTGTTTGAAAGTTATGTTAAGCTAGTCTTGAGCATGTTCCGCGTTTTATTAGGAAAAATGATCCTTGTGAAGCGGTGGAGCGCATTGCTAAAGGTATGTCACTGAATCCATTGAAGGAGTTAGGACTTGGCTATGTATGTGTAATTATGTCTCATATAATATCAAATAACCTGTAACTTTTTTTCAGGGATACGATCACGGGTTGATGTTGGTGTTATTGGCCAGGACGGGAAGGATTTGCATTACTTCATTAACGTTGCTGATCTTCATTTGTAAGGATATCATGCAAATTTCTCTGTGTCATTGTCTGTCTGATCCTTACTGAGTCGGTTTTCAATCTCTCCTTTCGTTGCTCTCACTCGCAGGAGCGCAAAGGCAGGTTTTTACGCTTCAAAGTACAAGAAATTTGGAAACTTATGCTACGTTATCGGTGCCCTCCAAGCTTTTATGGGACATCACAACCGAGATATGAGAATCAGGGTAAACAATCATCTCTACAAAATCTCTTCTTCACCAGAGCAAGAAACTTGAAAGCATTTTGTGATATATTCTCAGGTCAATGGAGGTGAATGGGAAATGTATCCTCAAGTCACCGCTCTCTGCGTTGGAAACGCAAAATACTTTGGTGGTGGAATGAAAATCACACCCAACGCCGTCCCTGGAAATGGAAATCTTGAGGTGCAAACAATTCGTTTATTGAATCTCAAATCCTACGTCGTAAACGTGAATATATTTTCACCTTCATACACTTCTCTGCAGGTTGTGGTTCTTCAAGACTTCAAGTGGTACGATTTCATACTGAAACTTCATAAGCTATACAACGGAACACATCTCTCGGTTAACAATGTGAGCTCAAGAAGGTAAGATTTTTTCTCGGTTTCTCAGACACTCTGTTCTGTAAATGCCCTTAGCACTTGAAAAGTCACCACCTTTAAGGTGTTTTTTCTTGTAGTGTACAAAGTATCGAAGTGCAGGAGATTTCAGACAGTGGAAGTATCTATGTTCAATCTGATGGAGAACATCTTGGATTTCTACCTAGAAAGTTTCGGGTTTTACCCCGTGCCATCGACATGATCAGCTGATCCGATAAAGCACTGAAGAATGTAGAGAGAAGGGACTTCAGATCAGAACACAAATTCAATTTTGTTCCATTTCAGGTTTTAAAATTTGATTCATTGGTTAGTCGAATCAGAATTGTGCTCTTGTTGGTCGTGTTACTCGTGTTGCTTGTGTTCTCACTATTTTTGTGTGGTCTTTATTAACCGAACCAGCAATAGATTATTTTTCTAAGTTAAAAACTCGCCTTTGCTTAATCAATCACACACTTGAAGCCACACAAAAAAATGGTATCATCACTTTCCTTTCAATCAATCGCCACTGTCAATTCCAGCTACTCCGGCGACGGTGGTCGTTTACTCCTCCGACGTAATTTCAGAGCGACTAGTGTGAGTTGCAGAGGACAGAATCCAACGAACGAGGAGCCACAAACAAGTAAAGGACCTGAGCCAGAGAATGTTCTTCTCAAAATCGCTTGGTACGGATCTGAGCTACTCGGAATCGCTGCTTCCGTTTTCCGATCACCGGCGTCTCCTTCTCCTCCGACTGTTACAGGGTTTGAGGTTCCGGTTGATTGTTCGGGACGAGCCGTTCGTGTAGCTGTTGTGGATTCGATTAAACAAGACTTCAAGCGATCTTATTTCGTTACAGGTCAGTCAAAAGGACAAGGATTAAGGATCTGTGTGTTTGTTTGTTTTTCTAAATCGGAAATTCTTCAGGGAACTTGACGTCGGAGGTTTATGAGGAGAAGTGTGAATTTGCCGATCCGGCTGGTTCCTTCAAGGGTCTTACTCGTTTCAAAAGGAATTGCACTAATTTCGGATCACTAATCGAGAAATCGAATATGAAGCTTATGAAATGGGAGAATTTTGAGGTACGATCACTAAAAAGATGATTTTTTTTCCGATGTCGGAGAAAAAGCTATTGTTTTTTATTTAATCGCCGGAGCTCCGGTGATGGGTTTTGCAGGATAAAGGAGTTGGACATTGGAAATTTAGCTGTGTCATGTCTTTTCCATGGAAACCCATTCTTTCAGGTATTTATTTGATCAACACCATTAAAGTTTCAGATTTGCCTAGATTGTTTGGATAAAGTTTGAAACTTTTATGGAAAGTCTTCTATGATTGATGATTAATCATGACAAAAAGACAAAAACTTTTACGTCTTCTTATGGAAATTCATGAAAAGAAAATCTACTTTTTACAGCTACTGGTTACACTGAGTATTATTTCGACACAGAATCCGGAAAAATTTGCAGGCAAGAGATTACTTTATCAAAGACATTAATCTCTTTCAACTTTGAAATCTTTTTGTGAAGAAGAACCTGGTGGTTTCACATATTTTGATGAATGGGTTTATGCAGACATGTGGAGCATTGGAATGTTCCAAAGCTTGCTCTGTTCAAGCAACTTCTGAGACCAAGCCGTTGATTATTATATGGGGGAATTGGGGACACAACTAGACGTATGAAGAAAGATTTCAATTTGTGACTTTAAATCAGTAAATATATAAAAATTTCTTTTTGATAATAATATGGTGATAATGTACTATAAGCAATCTGTTATGAATCTATTGAAAAAGGCATACATTAGCTTAAAAATTGGATCACAAAGTTATAAATTTGCGTAAAAAAGGTGAAGATAGCACATATTAACATCAGTAATAGGCGTGTTCTTTAACTTGCCGCAGCGATTGCGATTATAAAAGAGTAAAACAGCCACATTAGAGATAAAACTTTGCTGAAGATGGTCGGCGATGTAGTTGCAGGTGTTGTTAGCAACGTCTCTTACGGTCGCTGGAATTTTTAGCGGCAGCTTTCGAATGACGCGATCACCGGAGCGTCACCTTTCTTTCTCAGCAACACCTCCTCCACTGTCGTTTCACTTTGTTACTTATCTCAGCCACCGCCCGTTTTGCTCCTTGGGAATCGCAGTCGCAGCGGCATATAAAAGAACACGCCTATTGTCTCATTACCTCGGCCTAAGACAAAATTACATCCTTCTCGGTCGGAGAAGCGACAGAGTAACGTTGCATGAACTTCTTCAGCTTCGTCGATTCACCAACTTCTGGGAGTATCTTCATTAGAACTTCCATGGTGATGTGATTTGGTTCACAAGAATGTTTAACCATCTCATCCATTAGTTCAAGCACTGTCTCAAGCTGGTTATTGTCCTTAAGAATCTTAAAGAAAGCATTGTATGTTTCCACGTTTGGTCTCACCCTTTTCTTAAACATATCCTCTTTCAGAGAGAGCGCTTGTTTCAGGTCTCCGAGCTTGCACAAGGCGTTAATGAGAATGTTGTATACCACTGTGTTTGGAAAGACCTTTGAGTCCGAGCCCATGTCATTGAACAGCTTCAATGCTTCATTCATTTTTCCAGATGAGCAATAAGCTTGGATTATTGCACCATATGTCACAACATTTGGAAAAAAACCATCTTCTCTCATCTTCTCCATCATCCTATGAACACTTTCAAAGTCTTTTTGTTTGCTGAAATACGAAATAAGTATGTTACAAGTGACTGAATCAGGCTTCATACCAGCTCCCTCCATATCGGTTAACATCTCGTAAACTTCATCTGCCTTATTCTTATTACAAAACAATCCAATGAGCATGTTATAAGCCACCAAGTCAAGCGAGAATCCTGCTCGTTTCAGTTTCTCCACCATTGTAAGAGCATCATGGTCGCGTCTAGCTTGGCACAAACCAGAGATCAAACCGTAATATATCTTAGCGTCAGGAGAGCATCCAGCTTCAACCATTTGGTCATACCAATGCATAGCCTTGTCAATGTTACTGACGTTGCAATAAGCATTAATTAACGTCATATAAGTAACCACATTCCTTTTCAAGCCTTCCTTTTCCATATCCATTAAGAAAGAAACAGCACTGCTCACTCCGCGATGCCTGCACATGCCCTTAATCATTGTATTAAGAGTAACCACATCCGGTTCAATCCCTTCCTCCTTCATTCGAGAAACAACTGATTTGGCCGTGTCAAGCTGTCCAGCTTTGCAATACCCATCAACCAAGCAATTGTAAGTTCTTGTATTAGGCACACAATCCTTTTCCATTTTCATCTTGACCAACAACTCCTCTGCTTCTTTTAATCTCCCTACATTGCAGAGGCTATTGATAAGGGTATTAAAATGGATCTCATCAGCTTTGATCGCATTTCCATCATCACTCTGCCTTCCACGCAACTGTTCAAATATTTCCAAGGCTTCATCGACTCTCAATGACTTACACAAAGTGTTAATGAGAATCCCCAAAGTCACTGCATTAGCTTGAATGCCCATTTCGTCCATTTCTGCAGCGACAACATTCATTCTACCGATATCCATATTCCGTCCTAACGATGTCAGAAGCGCATTGAAGGGAGCCGTTTTCAGTGGAGCTTTGGTTTTCATCAGCTTGCTCAATGTTTCCCAAGCTACATTGGTTTTACCATTCTTGCACAGAGTAGTGATAAACCGACTCAGCCAAACACAGTTTGGGGACAAGCCAAGATCGCCAAATTTCAAAACCAACTGTATAATCTCTTCTTCTGTCAAACGCCTTCTCTCTGAGTGACCCTTAGAAAGCCAGCCGTGGAAAACAATATCCACCGTTGATTCATTCGGCGGAAAAACCGATTCTCTCTCAAGCATTTCGTCGAGCACCTTCAACGCATCATCCACAATACCACCTTTCAATAGAACATCGATGAAAAAGTTACGAACGTGCGTGTTCTTCAATTCCTGATCAATTTCTTCGTATACGATTACCGACTGATTCACCATTCCAAGACGTCCAAACCAACTGATGAAGAATTTCGCGGCATTGTAAGTAAGCGGGATTTTCTTCTCTTTAGCATTCTCGTAAAGCTGTAAGAGTTTATCTCCAGAGTCAGCTTCCTTACAAGCGAATTCGATAACCGACTGAAACGAAACGGAGAGAGATTCATCACGGTGTTTCAGAGACTGAGATTTCTCGTTCAGGTATTCGAAGAAAGACACTGCCAATGAGTATGAATCCAATCGCCGTGTGATTTGAGAGAGCACTCGAGGCGAAGAAGATACAAGGAGTGAATTAAGAGGTTCGCAAGACGACCAATCATGTTGAGGAACTTCTCGAAGATGCTTCAAAAATTCCCCTGCCACTGATTCTTCAGAATCCGGTTTAATCACCGTCGATGCATCAGATTGAGCAGTAAACCGGCGGAGAAATGGTGGACGACCGAGAAGATACAAGAAATTCCGGTGCCGGTGAACGGAGGAAAGCACATTATTCATCTTGAGGTT